ATTATTTTTTTATTGTAGGTTTCCGTGTCTTGATATGATAAAAAGAAATAAATGGTGATGGGCGATTTTTTATTCTATAACTAGAACGTAATTTGCTTCTAAATCACTAATAAACTATATTATGTAGTAACAAACTAAATAAGAATATCACATTATTCATGTATTTTTTATTTACTAAAAAACGTCCCAAACAATAATGAATGTTCATTATTGGAGTTTATATTGCTATGCTAAACAATACTAGAATAGAATAGTAAATAATGTGGATTTTAACTATTTTGAGTTATCCAGATCATTATGGTCTAAAAAATGTCTTTCTGTTGCTATAGTCAGGTATAAAAACATTCATTTATTTGAGCACATTTGAAATGTACATGATAATTAGTTTTTAAATTAATACCTAGTAGGACATCCTAAAATGTCTTTTTCCGTTTGATGTAAGATTAATTATTATACATTTTTGTTAGTGAAATAGGATATTTTGAGATGGTCTACTGTTTTCTCTAATTATCTAAAAGTATAGAACAATACAAAGACTGTTTTAACAAAAAAGAGATATACCTTTAATATTAAACACACAATTAGTCAATTCCATTATACGATAACTTATAAGCAAAAATCTAGAAAACTTCTAGAAATGAGTTTTTACTTGAACAAGGACATTTTACAAAATAATTATTAAAGAAAAAAAGTCAGCACCTAATAACATTGACGATAGGTTTTTTATAATATATATTATACAAATCTCAAAGAACTACACAAAATGACATTATTAATAATTTAAGCATTAAAAAAGTTAAGTTTAATGATGACATTAAAAGTTGATTTTCTCGTTATTACTTTTTTACTTTCCTATCTGTATACAGATATAAGGAAAGTATAGGAATTATGATTTTTTTCGACCTCGAGTTTTCGACGGATTTTTACGTTTTGAGGTCCCCTGAATCCGTTTAGACTATTTCCGCGATGATGTCTGTGTGTCGCATAACTCATGAACCGATACACAGAAAAACACCAAATTTTAAACTTAAGCTTTTTTCCAGCGTCCAATGAACTGATTAGATTTTGGGCAGAGTCGGAACATCTGGGGGGTACTTTATAGGTGGTCATTTTTATATTTTATGGAATATATCTGTTATTTACATTTGGAGAAGAAAATTCTTCAAATAAAAGTTGCTCCTAATAATATTATCTATAATTTTTGTTCTATACAAAATTTTCCTAAAATGGTCCGTATTAGAGAAATTTGACAAAATGTAAAAAAATTATTTTTTTATAAAAATTGTTCAAATAAAAGTTGTTTGTAATATCATTCTCTATAATTTTTATTCCTTACATAATTTTTCTAAAATGGACCGTATTCGAGATATGTGTAAATTTCGAATTTTGAAGAAAACTCAAAAACAGATAAAGGAAAAAACATTAAATTTTAATCTTTATTTCGGCCTGAGGTGAAATGATTAGATTTTGGACGAAGGCGGAACATTTGGGGGGTACTTTATGGGAGGCCGTTTTTATATTTTATGGAATATATCTGTTATTGATGTTTGGAGAAGAAAATTGTTCAGATAAAAATTACTTACAATATTATCTATAATTTTGGTTCTATACAATTTTTTTTTAAATGGTCCGTATTCGAGAAATTTGACAAAATGTAATAAAATTCAAATTTTTAGGAAAATTGTTTAAATAAAAGTTATTTGTGATATCGATCTCTATAATTTTTGTTTTTTATATGATTTTTCTAAAATGGACCGTATTGAAGAAATTGAAGGAAAAGTGCTAAATTTAAATTTTTCAGTATTTTCGTTTTCAATGAATATCTATAGAACAATGTTTCGAGTTAAATGTATGTGGAAAATGTATATATATAGTTTATCCTCTAAACATTTATAGAGGTGCTGCAATAGGTTGTACAAAATAACCGGAAAAAGCCTAAAATAGTTAGATAGGAAAGTCATGTGTTGGACACATCAGATTTTTTAAATTGTCACAGTACCTACCTACTGTTTAAGCACAATGGTATATGAATGTGAATTGCGTGATATTTTATATTTTAGGAATAAAATAATATTTTTTGCAGGATTCTGTTAACAACCATTCCAAGAACTTTTATTCAAACGGCCTTCACAAATATAATTCTTAATCAAGAGCTTTTAATCTAACATTCAATTTTTATTCTCCAAAAGGTTACAGCTGCGTAAGAAGAAAGTTTAAGATTTACCTTTTACCAGACCCAAAATATCAAAATGTTACCAACCAATTGATGGTTATCCTGCTTTTCATAGAGTGAAATTCTCCTCGAAAGTACTAAAAGAAAAGTGGCAGAGGCAACCGAAGAAAGCGAAAAAGTCTTTTGCCAAGCAAAAACAAGAAATTTGTTTAAAAACCTAATTATTGTTTGAAGATTTACCATTAATAAAGTATGATAACGTTTTAAGATTATAAAGTTTCCTCTTTGATAACCTATATTTAAATTTTTATTGGGACCAAAAATAAATTATAATTTTCACTTTAACTACATAAACCTTCATAATATTAAAAATTGGGAAAACGTCAGATTAGTTATGTTCAGGGATCATCAACTCTTTAAACATGTATCTACTTAAAATGTGTTACTTTTAGAAGGTATGTTATTAACTTTCTATTTGTACATGTATTAATTTATTTCATTTTATCTCTGTTTGTTGTATTTTCAAATTGATTTTAATATTAATCTCATCTATTTCTATTTTTTTTATATTCACATATATGTTTTTTCATTGAACCAAACGTTTATTAGCTTATTAAATATAATGAATTCACGTTGTTTTATTATATGCTTGCATGAATGATTACTTTTATTTCCTTTTGAAAACGAATTTCGAAGATAAAGCCGAAACTGTGAATGAGAATAAAAAAGCAGACGAAAATAACGATATTGACTGGAGCTTTCATCTACACTTTCCTTTTTCTAGCCTATCTACACCTGAGACAGCAAGATTCGTCTTCGCTTTATCCTTACATTCTCAAAATTTACGGAGAAAACGCTGAATCCTCTTTCACATATCCGGGCCTTCTTTGATACATTATCAGCCTTATTTGTTATCCCGAGCAATTTAAATGCATTCGTAATTGCTCATTCTAATCTCTTGTAGATTCCACCCATTTTTTTTATTTTTAGTTTAGTTTGCACCGCTCTTTAATTTTTCCTTTTCCACAGCTTCAATTCTACAATACTGTAATGCTACAATATGGATCCATTTTTGTGATTTATATTATTTAATTTTAATCGTAAGAGACAAACCTATTCTTATATCTTTCCTATTAAAATAATTAAGGATTATTGTATAACTGGCCTGAAGATATCCCTGTGAGGCCGAAACTAGTCTCTTGTATTTATTTATAATAAAACTGATGTATTGGTTTTAAAGTTTAATTCTTTAATTGAAAAAATTAGATCTTTACAGAAATTTTGTTTTATTTCCTGCATTAGATACACATATAAGACGGTATACATTTTAAAAATAGTAAAATTAGCGAATTTTTTAGTTTTTTTTTATAATTAAAAATTTTTGGACAATGTGTATTTTTACAGAGAAATGATACGCCACTGAACTGAACTCAGATGAATCTATTGTAACTCTTGCCTAAAGTTATAGTTCACCGTACAAACTACACCTTTTCATGAAAGCCATGGTTTTAGTCTGGTAAAACCAAAGACCTAGAACCTAGTTCTTTACAAGGCGAAGCAAGTACATTGAATGTGCTCAGAAGATTCGTCTTCCACGTTGCAGAATCGATAATTCGATGTTTGTTGCCGACCTATTCGCCTCAAATGCTTATCTAGACGACATTTTACTGATATCAGTTGCGTAAGAACGCGTTTATACTCTATTTCCAGATCTGAGCTTCCACGTATATTTCCAGTAGTTTCGCCCTCTGACCAGTTTGACATCATTGTTTTAGCAGTGCTCTTTGCAGTACCAACGAATTGTTCCGATCCTGCGAACTCAGATTCTGTTCCTCATATAGCGAGCGAGTCGGCGTTTTAATTAATCTCCATACCTTATCTTCCGGAACCCAGATCAAAGTTACTTTGCTTCGGACACCGGGCATTTATACAGTTCCACATCGCTGAGTTAACTAGGTTGGAGCTAAGGACTTTAAGAGCTTGACTGTCAAAAAAAACTTAATTGCTGTGTAACCAACTCTTTCGCTCCCATTTCTATAGTGATCATTTCTGCTTGGAAAATCGTATCAAATGTGGTCAGGGTTAATAATGTGTTTACCTTAACTTTTTTGCCAAATAATCTCGAACCTATTTTTTAATATAATAATAACTATATTAAAAGAGTTGTCATCAGCCACCTGATTGTTCATAAGTACACAACATAGGAGGTGAAGCTCTTTTTCTTTATGCAGAATTGTGTTTTTGGAGGAGTTGTTTTAAGGTCTTCATTAATTGAAATTATAATCAGTTGAACTGGCTGGAAAATATGGCTGATTGAATACTTATATAATAAGTGCTGCCTGCAAATCTATGGATAGGGTTAGAAGTGACCAAAAGTAATTCATCTACTTAAACTCATTTAACAAAAATTTATTAACACGCACTTTCAATTTCTAGTTTCATTTTCTTCAATTTTAAGAAAATATTTTTATTATTAAAAAAAAATGTATACAATAGAATGAAATATAAAAATACGTTTTTTCGATTTACTAAAATGTAATCGAAGGTTCTATTTTTCGCAATAACCGTACAATTTGAAGAACAATACATTGCACTGGAAATAAAATCTAAGAACCCAATTTCAACCAAACCCGTACTTCCTCTAGACGAAAAACGACCTTTCAGACCGTCCTACAATACAACAGAAAAACCAACCGTAAAAACAACCTCTCGAAAGGTCTTCTACTTCTTATTGTTTAACAAAATTAACCATAAAATTATATTTAGTATAAAATCTTCTGACATTACCGACAAAAATCAGTTGAGTTCTTCATCTGGTCGGTAGAAAATGAAATTTTTTAGTCTAGTTCCAATTTTCATTATTTTTTCGAAAAATGTAGTACAGTGCGGGTACTTACCAGTGGGTATGGGTATGGGCGGTGGAGCAAATATGATTGGGGGCGGCGGTGGAATGATGGGAGGGGGTGGAGGGATGATGGGCGGTGGTGCAGGAATGATGGGTGGTGGTGCAGGAATGATGGGTGGGAAAATGACAGGCATGGGCGCTGGAATGATGAATGCCGAGATGGGCATGATGGGCGCTGGAGGTGGTGCGGGAATGATGGGCGGGGGTGGTGCAATGATGGGTGGGGGTGGTGCAATGATGGGCGGGGGTGCTGGAATGATGGGTGGTGCGGGTATGGCTGGAGGAGCTGGTAAGTAATTCCTGGTTAAATACTACTAGTAGATAATTTTTAATGTAATTAGAGAGAAATTATTAGTAACTTTGCAGTAACTATTCAAATAACTAAATGGCTTGAAATGATAAATGACATTATGGAATTTTTCCGTTTGTCTACCTGAACTCCTACAATTTGCTTATAATTTTCTTATCAAATGCGGTAAAACTAAATACATAGGGTGTTTCATTTATAATTGTACATATGGTAACTAGAGAATCCGTGGCCGAAAATACTAATGACGATATATTAAACTTATACAAGGTCCCTAGTATTTCATAGGGACAGTATTGCTATTTCTTGAACGGTAACAGACAGATTTAAAGTGACTTAAATTAGACATGAGTTGCGCAGTTTTGAGCTCAATAAAATGGTGTACCAAGATAACTTTGATATCTACAGGGTACAGGGCGATTTAAAATATCGGACAAAAAATTATTGAATTTAAATAAATGGCAATTTTCATTTCTTGTCCAATATTTTGAATCGCCCTGTAGATATCAAAGGTTTCTTGGCACCATTTTAGTGAGCACAAAACTTCGCAACTTTTGTCTAATTTAACCAACTTTCTATGTGTTACCGTTTAAGAAATAGCAGGGTGGGACTCCGTATAAAATATTCCTTCTGACAGAAATTTATTTAAAAAATTGAAAAAAAAATTTGCCCATTCTGGTACAATACTTTTCACATTTTTTCTTCATACTTGGCGAAAAGTTTATGAATTTTGGGAATTTCATTATAAGCTTACCATAATTTACTAGAACCTGTTTTATGTTACCAAGGTATTTCTATGTAGTTTGGTTACTTTCATGATGCCATATGTTACAAAAGCATGTAACTACTTCTAACCACGATAGTTATATGTTAAAGAGATAAGTTTCTCTATGGTTAGGAAAGGGAAATATAAGACTACTGGCACAAGTAAATTCCATTGTGCTTGTTTTTCCACACTTTCTTATATCTCTTGCAGAGTTTTCGTTCGCTGATTTAACTACCTTCTTGACTTCCTCCCTTTTTATCTTGTATAATGTATAATGTGATAATTATTTTCATTCCTAGACTATTTTCTAGATCAATTGTCCAGATTTTCCTCTAGTACCTACTTTAATTTCTTCATTCCCTCAAGATGTCTGAGGTTTTCTGTTTTCACTGTATAATGAATGGATATTAAAGTGTATAGAACACTGAACCACACAAACTTATGTATGTGTTCTCTTCTTAATGCGATTTTTATAGGTTATTCCCTACATTTTTTGGTGGTGTGTTCAGTAGTGTAATGGTACTATGACGATTGTTTATTTTAAAAATAGTTGATTTATTTAAAATAGTTTATTTATTGAGACCATTACTAATTTATTTATAATAGTTAAGCACTATTATAATTCATACTTCTAATTTATTCATTTTACAATTTATCTTTACTTGACAACATTTATATTGAAACTTCTGTATTTCAACTTAACTGCTAAACAATGTCGCGCTATTTATATAAAGCCATCCCTGCTCTAGTAAATTCTCGGCGGTCTAGAATCGCCTTGAAATTCATCATCCACATAATTTTGTTGTATAGAGAATAAAGTCGGTTTCAGGCGATTGCACGACAATTCGTTATTTAGACTATGTCGTTATTGAGTTTTATTAGACTGGTAGATTTAACAGTGGTTCTCGCATGTATTCACATGCTTTTGGCGTTTCTTCGTCTAGTATTAAAAACCTTAAACTAGCAAGGCCTTCACACTGACGTGGTTGAATATTTCCTTTCCTTCTTCACATAAACTGCAGTGTTTCTTCTTGTACTAAGTTGATGACATTAATATGCGGCAGTGTCCGATAAGAAGACTTACTATTATTCTAACGATTTGTTGTTTTTGATCCAGTAGATTTTTAGTAAAGTTGGCCGACGGTTCCTTAAGGAACTCTTTGACCTGTCTCAATTCTAAATAGTTTCACCTGGCCTGGTATCCAGGCTAAAGTTACTTTGTTTTGAGTGCTTAGCTCTGTCGGGTGTTTGATACTTCCTGATTCATTATTTATCTTGCACGGTGTTGCAACACTCTTGCATTTTCTCCTAGACATCGAAATTATTTTTTAGAGTCGGGTCCAAAGATTCCAGCACTGGCTCTATCATTCGTTTTTGAACCCTCTGTATACGTACCAGACTAGTTCAACCTGTATGAGAGGTCCATATTTACAGGAATCTCGGGCTAGTATTTGGATTTGAAAGTTTCTTTCAAATTTGTGAGTAGGTATAGCTACTCATATAACAGTAGGTATACATCTTATCCCTTTTTACTTGATGGTATAGCCTTGCAAGGTCAACGCTACACAGTACTACACAATACTGATTTCAGTATAGAAACATATTGGCTATTAAATATACAGAAATAGAATATGTTGCCGACTACGGACCGCAATATCTCATCCTTGCCATCGAAAGGTCGTGGTTAAACCAAGATACTCTCTTCATGCCTCTCACGTCCAAATATAATTAAGCGCCTCATCTTTATTTTGCTTGATGCTTCGATTAACGTACTGTATGCTATTGGGTTTGTCCCTGAATTAGCTTGGAAAAAGTTTTTAAAGTAAGCCATGACCGATAAAGACATACAAACTGTCATTTAAAAATTGAACAATTTTTTGTGGACCACATCTTATAATTTAATACGTACGAATTGTTATATAGTTTGTCAAAATTGAATTTGTTGTTCAAACTCGTTGAGAAAAATAATATTAAATTTGCTTTTTTAGGTATGGGAGGAGGTGGTGGTCTTCACACTAACATCGGAATGATGGGAGGTGGTGCCGGTATGATGGGGGGCGGAGCTGGAATGATGGAAACAGGTATGATGGGCGGAGGTGGTGGAATGATCGGAGGAGGCGGCGCAATGATAGGAGCAAGCGGAGGAATGATGGGTGGCGGCGGCGGTATGATGGGGGGCGGAGGTGGTATGGGCGGCGGCGGTGGTATGATGGGCGGCGGCGGTGGTATGATGGGTGGAGGAGGTATGATGGGAATGGGAGGAATGCACCACGGGTATGGAGGAGGAGCAATGGATTCCGGCTCTTATAATAATGGAAAGAAAAATTTGAACGATATGCGGTAAGAAAAAGTTATGAATAATTTTGAATTTTTCGTGAAAAAACTCAAATATCTAGGATGTTTGTGTCATTTAAACAAAAAATATGATTTTCATTTAATGAAATCAGAACAGATTGTATTTCAACCACTTTTCAATGATGATCTTTTTGGTTGTCGGTGAGAGCTGTCTAGAGACAGCCAGCCTCCCAGTTCTCCTTATTACTTAGCATCACTTCTCAACGTCTAGCTATCTTCTGTCGATCTCCACTTCACTGAATTTTTGCTGTTCTAAATTATTAGTGACATAATCTTCATGCCATACACCGTCTTAAAAAGGTAGGTACTTCATTCTTAAGAGCGCATTTAAATCTATTAGTGTGTATTATAATTTACCTCTGGCTGTCAAGTCAGTTTTGGATTTTTCTTACCGAATCTTCTTTTTTGTTCCAAGTAGATGTATTCCTTGAAATTTCTAAGATGTCATATTCAGTCCTAATTACTACGTTTCATGGAGACCTAATTATAATATTTCCAATATTTGCATAAAATCCTTTGTAACTCTTCAAGTTTGGTACTGATCAGAACAATATCGTTTGCGAAACGAAGGTGATGTTCATGAATTTTCTGTCCTAGTTTAGAGTAAAATTATACAGTTATCGTTACTAAATCCAGCTTACCATAAATTATTTCCTATGGATGGTGTTATGATTAAAGTATTATACTGTACTAATTTTGATCTTTCTACATAGTAATGAACATTATAAGGAAGTTTAACCCAAACAGAAATGACTCTCATTAACTTCTATAACAATTAGACTTGCCTATGACCTTATGACCATAATTTCTTGTGTCTGGTGTCACCATATATCCATGTGTAATGTATTATTTATCCAGTCGCATTGGAAGGTGCTTCAGGCCTAAGTTAATGGTTTACGGTTCAAGTGTTGGAATCTAAACCAATGTGAGGATCGCAACTTGAGATATGAATTAATTAGAAGTCAAAGTTCTGTTAATTTTTAAATTCTTCATAAATAACTGAAATATGGGAGACATACAACAACAAATACCTACAGATGATGTGGTGCTACTGGAAAATCGGGAAGGAGACTTAAACAGATTAAATAAATAGACACAGTTAGAGGTAAAGGGTGTGAAAATAAGTAAAAAGAAAACTACGCACTTAAAATACGGATCTGGTAATTAACAGTACCACTTTCAAGTGATGTCTGAATGGCAGGGGCAAGCTGGAAAATTTCTACAAGTTGAGTTAAGTATTGGGGATCAATTTTACAAAATGATGAAGAAATACGTCAACCTTGATGGATTGGATGGGTCAGGATAATGTACAGTGTAGAAAAGAAACGAGTAGAAAATAAACAATTTAATAGTTGTTGAGATATTGTTAATATTGAAATATACTTAAAGGGAATTAAAATGTTACAAATGAACCAAACAAATTGGCTGACCGTAAATAATGCAAAAGACTGAAATTATAATAAAATTGGGCAAAAGGAGTACCACAAGGGAGCGTCTTCGGTCCTGTCTTGTATCGACTATTTATCTAAGATATACCAGAAAATATTAATATCATAACCATTGTATTTGCCGATGATACTGCTATTTTAGTAATAGAAGTAAATGCATATAAAACTATTGAAAAGCTGCAACTAACGAATTCAGCAGATTGACTAATAAACAGTGAAAATTAAAATATCTAAAATCTCTGAAATATGTAAATAAAAATAACCAAAAAACATACCTATTACGATAGGCAGATCCCAGGTACCAGATGAAAATTAGGCCAAGTATCTAGAAATGAATTTAGGTAAAGCTTAGGTGGAAAGATCAATAAGGAATATAAAAATATATACAGGTTAATTGCCAGAAGTTCACAATTATCAGTGCATAACAAATCTACGAAAAAAATCTTAAAACCATTATGGCGTGCAATTTGGGATTGTGCTAAACCAACTAATGTGTATATCATCCAGATATTCCGAAATAAAGTAGTCCGAAATAAAGTAGTCCGAAATATTGTGAATGCTTCCTTGTATATTTGGAATACAGATTTACAGAGAGCTCACGGTAGATACCGTTAAAGAAGAAATACAAATGTATGCCTAAAAACACGAAGCTAGCCTTCATGTCAGCTTCGAGATTCATCAGGTCCTCGACCAGCGTGAAATAGAAAAAAAGACTAAAGTTGACAAAACCTTCAGATATGTGCTAGTTAAAAGTGAAAGTAAAGTGCTAATTGATGATTTATTAGTTCCTTTTGGTTAAGATAAAATTGCTAATATATCGATTTAGATCAGATGCAATATAAAGCTCAGTAATAATAAAAAAATACGTTTCGAAACCCAGTTTTTTTGAATAATATTACGAGCCTTTATTTTTCTTTTTTTTTAAGATATGAACAAGGATACGGAAAAGAAGGTGGAGAATATAACAACGGACAAGGAGGATACAGCAAAGGCGAAGTAGCTGGTAAAGATATGAATGGCAATGCGGGATATTACAGTGGTGCCAATGGCGGTAAGAATGTATATGAAGATGGCAAACAATATGCTGGAGCACAAAAGTTTGACCAAGAAGGTATAGTACACTATTATTTTACTGTATAACTTAAAATCTCACATAACAAATTTTAATGTGAGCTTATTATATTATCAATTTTACTCAATTTAAATGTATTTCATATTAGACATAATATATTTAAGGTAAAAATGAAGCAGCTATCAAAATGAATAAAGGTCATAAGAAAGGTCACAAAATGAAGGGCTTCAAAAATTCCCATCAAAAACAAGAATCTGGAAAAACCGAGGAGTTCTACGATGAGGACCATGATGAAGGCGGCAACTTCATGTTTAACAACCAAGCTGGCACCTTTGGTGAAAATGCCGCTTCTTCCTACAAAGGAGGTAAAGAAGATGGTAAATTTAACACTGCTGAAGCCAAGAAGGAAGGACACTTCAATAAAGAATTTATAGCGGATAAGGCCAATGCCAACCAAGGAAGGTATGTAACATCAGAAGTTGGTTCTTAATTATTGATAAGATTTACCCTGACTGGATTTGCCACAGAACTAGTTTCATGGGGTATTTTTGTTTCGTTAGCAAAAAGGAACACAAAATGGAATCACCACAAATAGTGTATCTCTAAAGTCTCTTTGGTTTAGAGTATTTGGCTAAAGGACATTGGGGTATTGCAGATAATGAATTTTTAGATACTGTTAGAAACATGCAGTTTGGAATATATAACATTTTGCATTTATATGGATTTTTTCTAATAATTTTCGTTTTTAAGGTATGGTGAATCCAAATTCGGCAACAGTGGTTCTATGTATGGAATGAACAATGGTGCAGGTGTCAACAGTATGGCTGGCCATCATCAGTCTAGCAAATTCTTTAAGCATCATCCTTTCTATACCTATTATTACTAAAAATAAGTATAAAACTCCCAATCCGATGATGTTAAGTTATTAAGTAAGGTCTGTGATAGAGATAAAAACTTTATTTTACTAATTTTTTAAAAGCAACAAAACATTATTTAATCCTAGTAGTTATCACTAACACAGTTGATGAATTGTAAATGTATGTACCTATGTTAACAGAATCAATTTATTGTTTATATTGGTAAATATATAAAAGTAAATTACCTACCTAAAGGTTTACTTTTATTACTAAATATTTCAATTTTTACGTCTTAATTTCATATAATTTTGTATTTTAAATTATCAAAAACTCTTATTTTATCTGAGTAAGGGTCGATCTTTTAATCTCTGAGTAAAGTTACATGTACGTTTACTTGACAGATTAACAAACAATAGCCTTATAGTTTAATCAGCAAGTAGTTACTTTCAACTATACTCGGAGGTAAAAATACTGGCCCTCAGGGTACAAAATAAAACTGCCATAGACGTACATGATTCCTATTTTTACAAAACCAAATGTCAATAATTTTAAGTCGCACATTGTATTTATTTTGTGATGCAGTAGGTATATATTATAAGATAATTGCGTTGGACTAAAATTAATGTAGGTAAATATTCTTCAAATAATAAGACCAAAGTAGGAGTGGTTATTTTAAATTTCATGATTCTCTGCATTAATCTAATTTAAAATTATTAAAAAAAGAAGAGAAAATGTAGAAGAGCAAAATTAATTTTCTAATATTCATTTGAAGTTTAGAATAATTTATCTTTGTGAGCTTTTTTAAATTAGTGCTGTTAAAATTTTCTACTTATATGCAGACTTATTTGATGAGAACTTTGAACCATAAAATAGATTTTTATCGAAATTAAAATTTTGATTTTTAATAAAAACAAAAAATACGGAGCAATTAATTTATTTACTAATGGATTAATGAATAAATAATAACGTAGATATGTTCGGGTAAATTATAAAGAACATTTAAATTCCAATGCAATATTTTTGTTTTCGTTTGTTTTAATTAAAATTAAAAATAATTCAACAAATTTTAGTAAAAAGTTATTTATTGACATTGCGGAAAGAAAAAAGAAAAACCTAAAAAATAGCGCTAAATAAAAAAACTTTTTCTTAGAACATGTACACTTAAAATGGAGGATATTTACAAATACATACTATTTAGCATTTAAACGCTTTTAATTTATTAATTTTAAGTTAAGGTCATTGTAATCTGTTTAATAATTAAGTTATTTATATTAAGTCCAATATATTATTAATAGTGTTATTAATTTAAGAAGCTAGTTTTTAAGTATTTTTTTAAAATTTTGATTTATGATGGCGAAAAGCGATGATTTTGGTTTATTCTCTTGCAAATAAAAAATCCAAAAAAATACAGCAAGCGAAAATATAGTTTTATTTAAAAAACCTAATTCGGTGGACCTCAAGGCACTATGTTGGGTTCATTATATTTAATATGTATGTTGTCAAGGAAATATCGTTATGGTTATCGATATGGTTATTCATTACTCAGCAGATTCATGGCAGAATCTGAAAACAAATAAAGTAGAATTAAACTTTCCCAACATAAAAGCTTAGTTAAATCATAGAATATTAACAATAAATAAATTAACAAAACATTCTGCTTAACTTTTTATTACAAATTATCTTCATGCCATTATGGCGAAAGTGGAGTTACTTATTTATCACGTGATATAATTTCCATCCTTTTACACTTCCTGAATTGTAGCATCTTCTCCATGGGCATCGCCAGGGGAGTCAAAAGGGAGAATCGCCCGCCCGGTAGTTCACTCGTTAAACGGTTATTCTTAAGAATTCAATAAAATTGAAATATAAGGTTAATGAAGGTGTCTTTTACGTAACTAAAAAAAAATTTATTTTTTGACCGTCTTGGTAGATATAGATTTTTAAAATAAAAATACTTTTAAAGTAGTAAATGATTACAACTTGGCAACATTGTAATCGCTACTCTTAACGTGCGGTAACAGAACAATCCTCGATCAGCTAAGAGGTTGTTATAACCTCGCGACGTGTTCTTGAAAAATTAATTCGTCCACTGTATTTGAGAACTGGAATCAGCGGTTCTGTTTGAACCAAAACAAACCCTTAAAATGAGTATGAGGAAGTCACAAATTTCTACAGCCCACCATTTATATATTTGCGACGTTGCCGGATGGATTTTATTTGAAATTATAACGTATCCATTTATATATATATATATATATATATAAGCTTACATGTGTTGTGTACATAAATTTTTTTAGCATTGAGAATGTGGAACTTTTGTTATTCACCACTATGCGATATTTTTATGTACGACTGTCGCGAGTGAACTACGCCTCAGGAATTATGCCTCACTTTATGAAAAGCAAAAATTTTACTTAATTGTCTTACTTACAAATTTACAATAAGCATACCCACATTAAAATGTTGAAAAATAATAAGAAAGTGTTTATTATATTCCAAAAAAAACTCCAGTTCAGTTTGTGAGCAGAACATTTTTGCACTATATTAATTGTAGCAAATTTAAAAATATTATATACTAAATTTTAATAAAAACGTACAAAAGGTAAGTTTTTTAGTATGCTAGCGAGAATATAAATACTATATCACGTGACGCTGCTTTCAGTCAATTTAGTTAGGTGAATTTGATTAATAAGTGACACCACAGTGTTGTTACAGCTATCATCATGCTCATTATGTTTCTTCTTGTCTACCTCAATAATTACTACATGCAGTATTAATTATATTTCCGTCCAATTCAGTAAAAGTTTAAAGAATTCCTAGAACATAAAGTCATGCTATTGTTACGCAGGTTTTTGGTATCTCAATTGATTTCAACTCCGGTACACAAAAATGGTAGCAAAAATGAAGTTTGTAATTATCGGTCCATAAGCATTTTTTGCAATTTTGCTAAAGTATTCGAAATAATTTTCACGATCGTATTTCCAATCACGTTTCCCGTCTTATAACTTGTGACCAACATGGATTCATGAAAAATAGATCTACAGTTACAAACATTGTATGTCCGACGCAATTCATTTCGGATGCCTTTGATATGAGAAGTTCAGTTGATGTAATATACAGATTTCTTCAAGGATCTCGACAAAATTGATCATTCCATTTGCTCCATAAGTTAAGTTCCATTGGTTTATGCGATCAAATCATTCAATTAATTGCTTCGTATTTGTTGGGTAGGCATCAGTATGTTCAAAGTCGTGGTTACAGGTCTCAAAAATTCGAAGAAACATCAAGAGTCCCGCAGGGATCAATTTTAGGTCCCCTTTCATTTATAATTTTTATAAATGATATAGTCGCTAATATCGAGCACATTAAAGTTTTAATGTATGTCAATGACCTAAAATTATTGCTTGACATCAATTCTGTTAATCATTGCTTGCGACTTCAAGTGTTTGTCCGACATTGCGAAGTGGTGTCTCGATAATTAACTCCCTCTAAATCCTGAGAAATGTACCGTAATGTATTTTACTAAAAAAGTAACACCTATAATTTTTGCTTATAAACTACAGAACATTATTCTAAATCGACCCGAATTATAAGAGACTTCGGAGTTTATTTTAATGCTGAACTAACTTTCGTTAAACACATTGAAACAATGTTATCTGCTACTAACAGGAGCTTAGGGTTTGTTATACGAAGCTGTAAAGAATTCCGAAACATATTCACCTTAAAAATTTTATGTTAGCGTTGTACGGTCAAAACTTGAATACTGTTCTCTTGTTTGGAATCCCGTGCATAACATTTATACTGACTTACTTGAAAAAGTTCAAAGAAAATTCATGAAATCTGCTTCCTACATTTTAGATGGAATATACCCCACAAGGGGATATCCTCATGATTTACTAATATCTAGAAACGCAGAAATTTCCAACAGGTACTCCTACTTTATAATCTTTTAAATGGCTCAGCCGATTACGTTAATCTAAAAATCCCCCGTGCTGGTTGAAGAGTTTGAGTTTCTACATGTCAGCTTCTAGAACTAATATTTTGAACTCATCTCCAATGTACCAATCTAAAGGGTGTCCAAATTTGACTTTCGGATTTAATTTAATAATAAAACACAAAAAACCCTTGAAATATTATAATGTTATTGTATTATTTTAAAGTTTAAATGTTACGGTTAATAATGAAAAATAATATCCGGCATGTGGCCCCTTCTGCTTCTTTGGCATGCTAACATTCTTTTTCCAACATTTTCAATAATTTTCGCAAACATTCTGTTTAATTTCTTATATGTTTTGAATGTTAAGTCGAAGCTGTTCAGGTGTTTGAGGGTTATTAGCATAAACTTTTCCCTTTAACCCTACAAGAAATAGTCCAATTGCGGCCAATTAACCTCAGATCTTCGAGAAATTATTCGATGGTCAAATCTCTCCCTTAAGAGATTTAGTGTTTGATCCGATGTGTGGCAAGTGGCATTGTCTTAGTGGAACCACATGTTCTCGTCATCCATACCTTCTAATTCGTTCCACAAATATTCTCTAATCATTGTCCTGTATCGCGTTCCATTCTCAGTTATCGCCACGTTCATTCTGGAAAAAATAAGGACCAATAACGCCACCAGACCAAAAACCACACAAGACAGTCACTTTTACTGAATACGATTTCGAAATGGGCCTCGCCGCTAAAGATAATTCTTTTAAAAAAATCGTTATTTTCTTGCCTTCTTTCTAAAGTAAGATATTTTTTAAAATGTTATGCAAACTCGATCTTTTATTGTTGACTTGCTGTGAACGTTTTCGTACTGACATTTTCGGATTTCACCAACACTAGCCCTTACCGCAGCAATGTTCTCCTTTGATCGGGCAACACGACGCCTGTTAACTTCTACTGACCCAGTATGTTGAAATCTCTTCATAAAAGTCTCAATAACTTTAACAGATGGTGCTAAATTTCTTTCCGAAATGCGTACGGCATCTTCTTGCAATTTCAGCAAAACAATCCCCAATTTGGTAATAAGTTTTCATAATAAAAACGCGGTCTTAGATGGACAGTTGTTCCATATTGACTAAAAAAAGTAACCGCAAACTTTTTACTTGACATATGTCACCACAGAAAAACTGTCAATGAAGATTAGCAAAAATGGCGGTCAATTTAAAACGGAATGTCAAATTTGAACACCCTTTATTGCTTGGATATTTTTGTATGTAACAAATATATGATTAAAAAATGTTTTTTCTTTAATAATGTAAAAAAAAGATGTAAAGCATGAAATGTAATGTAGACAACGACTTTTTTTATCCTGTGTTCGGTCAGTTTTTTCCTGGATGTTTACATTGTAATGTATAGCTTTTTAACAATTTTGTATTTGTATTATTATTCGTTTTGTCTTTTCCACTTCCCACCCATTAAATGGTGATTACTCTTGGGTGGTGTAACAAATAAATAAATTGTGTTCAAGTTTATAGCTTGCGTTGAGAAGGCTTGTTTTTCAGAACAATTTAGTAGAAGAAAACACAAATTTAAAGCAACATATCTATTACACAATATTATAGGAACAAAAAATTCCTACGTATACCTACCTAAATAAAATTACACAAAAAGGTAATACACATCTATACATTCTTTTAAATATATATTACAACCTTCATACACAACTATTATGATCCCATACAATAAAAAAATGCTAAAAAAATAAATAAATCCCTTCAGTAAGTTGCTTATTTGAATTTTTTCTTTGAAAGATTTTTTAAATTAATATATAAATTTTGACGGATCTTGAGAATGTGATTCCTGAATGACATGAACTTCAAAGTCTATAAAGATATGGCATCATTAGCTATTGAGAGATTTGGCAAGTATTCTTGCAACCGATTATCAAACATGATCGATATTTTATGAGAGCTTGGTTCCTATCGAAAATAAAAGAAGCAA